GAGGGGATACACGCTGTACTCTTTTTCCCTTAGCACAGGTTTTTGTCTCAATGGATTTTCCTGGCAAGGTTTTTAACGAGGCAACAGACAATTCGTATTACATGATATGTGTACTCTTTTTCCTTCATTAGGATTTTTTCCCACGGGGGGTTTATTTAGTAAGGTTTTAACGAGGCACATTATCTTTGGACATCCAAGGGGGAGTGTTACGAAATACTTGATTATGGTGGATGTCCATAACTCCTAAAGGAGTAACACCCACTACTCTTCTCCATTAACCTCCCACTACTTCTTACCATTATGGTTGTAACTCGAACACCTCCATGATCTTCTCCCATGATCTTAATATTAATACCATGTTCATGGCATCCCTTTGTATTACCTAAATATCATCCTATAAATAGAGGGTTTGGGTATCACATTGTACACACTTGAATACATAGAAGAAATAAGAATCTATCATCTCTTTTTCCCTACATTCTTGTCTATTTTCTTATTTTATATTATTACTTTGAGCTAAGTTTCTTAACATAAATATTTATTTGGGTCTTTGTGAGATAATTCAAGTAATTCTCAAAGCAGTTGATGATTCCCCTGCAGGACTGTTTGGTTGTGTTATTTGCATTTTAAGAAGACTAAGGTAGTCCTTTGTACGTCAATTTCCTACTTTATTACACAAGTCTCGCAAGTGTACTTAATAGCTCAATCCATAGATGAGTGTTACGTTGGTTACACCAATTAGAATAAGAACATTATCAAATCCACCTATTATCATCGGCATAAACATATCACTAAAAAAACTTCAGCCGTTATTAAAATATTATAAAGTTGTTGATAGGCAGGTCTTGCTAATTCCATACACACCAGTACTAACAAGCATGTGCTCATCACTCCAACAATGACACCTAAGAATCTCTAGTGGTGGTGAAATCAACCAAAATGTATGTCGTCCGACCTTATATCTCTTTCTTCATGTCCTATTTAACGATTCTATGGCCATAGTTATTTAGGTAGTATTTCGAGATCGAATTCTTCCCAGAAATACACAAAACACAGATATGAATTGGGTAAATAAAAATGGAAAAATGTACTACGTTATATATAGCTGAAATTAAGAACATGAGGCTGGCGTTCCGACTACAAAATAGTAAAAACTAACTTCTCATGCATGTAATTCTAAACTAGCTAATAAAAAGATCAGGAAAAAAACACACATACAAAGAAAAACTTCAGTCATCCAACGTTGGGCTACTTGAAGAGAAACAGTCAGCGAGTAGAGACTTAATCTCTTCATCATCATCATCTTCCTCCTCCTCCCTATGGCCATAACCAATACCAACAGCTGGATTACTATTGCAGTAACTGCCGAAGGAAGCCTGTAATTCTGTCATACTCATCAGCTTTCTCCTCTTGTAGTTTGCCTTGAAACAAGCTTGCCTCAATCTCTTTGTTTTCTCCTCAAGTTCCATGTCTGGTACTTCTTCCAACATCTTCTTCTCTTCCTCCAAAAGCTTTATCACATCCTTCAACTTTTGCTCCATACCACTTCCTCCCCCCTTTTCCAGTTCCTGCAACATGCACACCATATCAAAAGGAGTTTTAACTTTTGCCCCAACTGTGTAAAAAAACTTTTATACTATTACAACAACAACAAACAAACGCAGTGGGTGGGATCCAGGGAGAGTAGTGTGTATGCAGACTTTACCCCTAACATGGGAAAAAAATTTATACTATTAAGTCAATTAAAATCTATTACAGAGATGAGACTTTAATTTATATACAACGATGGTGTACATATATCAGGTCATGTATAGGTAACTTTTCATAAAAAAGTGAGATTTGTAATATTGAACTTGTAACAAGGTAATGGTGACATGATGATAGTGTAAAAATAGGTAGATATTAGTTAAACTCTTGGAATAATCTATAAACATAATTGCTAGATAACCTCGCATTATAGTAATTAGTAACATGATATAGCATGTAAAATTATGTGTAGGATTTTTTTTATACTATTAGTATATACATATATCGGAAAATAAATTTTTTCATAATTAGCATAAATTAAGTATAATTACATAATCAAAACAACAGTAACATGTGTATATAGAGAGTAAACCTTAACATTCTTGATTAGTGTTTGAAGACTCATCAACTTCCGATGAGGCCACCTTCGGATTCCTAATTCCCTACATCTTTTCTTCAATAATGTCAACCCAATATTGAGTTTCTTGGCTGCTTGTGTTATAGGCATGTAAAAGTACTTGGAAATGGTTTCTCGAGACAACATTCTTGTACTATTAATCTCCTCTATTTGCCTTGAAGCCTTCTCTTTTTTCGGTATTTCCTCAACATGATCATTTATCATAATTATCTCTTGATTTTTATCACATAACAACAGTTGATTGTTCCCACTTCCGAGCTCGTTACTTAATCCAAATCCATTTCTAAGATCGCCAGAACATAACTCTCCTGCGTCCATATCATTTTGAAATAGTCAATAAATAAAAATTCTTCGAAGTTTCAGTTGCAAAAAAAAAATAATTAAGAATAGTTACTATATATATATAATGACCACTATTATACCTGGGGTTAGGCATTGCACTGGTGTACTAAAGAAAGATGAATACAAGGGATCGTCGAGAGTAAATTCCATGAAGGGATTAGCATCAAATTCTTGAATAGACAGATCATACTGATAATCGATAGCGTGGTGTCCTGAATATCCACTGTTTTTCACGTATATTATTCACCCACATACAAAAAAAGGGAAAACAAAAATTAAGGAGAGAATCAACCAATACTATAAAATGCAAACTCCACTAGTACGTAGTACATAAAATTAAATATACTCACCTGAATTCAAGAGAAGGAAGTTGGGTAGGAAAAGAGAATACGTCTTGATGATTTTCTTGGTTAGTACTCATTACTTCAAAGTTTGACTGACTTCTCATAATTTTGATCAAATAATGACTTCAGGTGTTGGATTATGAGTTTAAGTACTTAGGCGTCCAAATTATCACACATGAAAATGAAAAAAAAACAATATAAGGGCTAAGGGATCTCTGGCCTTGGATTATTATTATGAAGTAGGGAAAATGGGGTGAGGAGAAGAAAAGGCGCGGATTGAAACTGAGAAGTGATTAATGTGAAAGTAATTATGAGAATTAAGTGCACTGGAAATCGTGCGCCGTCGTTATGCATGCATGTTTAACATTAATTATTTCATTTTTGATTTATGTGTTTTGTACCCACGTACGTCTGTGAAGAGATACAATCATGAATTCTTTTGGAAAATTGATCCTAATTTAAATAAAATCACCATCTAATTTCCATAGACCAGTTTCACATTTTTATGCAGAAAATAAACAATAAAATAAAATAAACCAGAAAACAGATAGAATTAAGGAGTTGAGAAATATAACAGAAATAACATGAGTATTAGATCCATATATATATGGGAACTATCCATTTCCTAGGGACTATCAAACCCGAGGATTTTAATTGCATTGCTATATCCCAAATTAGTATACTAACAAAACAAGCACAGTAAGTCAGTAACTAGAGAAACGATTTGTTATGGTAAATCCATTCCTTTATTAGACATCCAATAAGATTTGAAAGACTTGCTTTTCGAATTTAGGGACAGAGATGACAAAGGGTGCGGAGCAGAACGAATTTAAGTTATTATGCAGGGCGGGACGGGTTTAAGTTGTGCGAGACGGGCGCAGGACGGGTTTAGCATTCTTTTAAAATTAAAAGGTTGTTGCGGTTTAGAATTTTGTGTAATACCGCACGTACATTTGCTGCTTTTCGTTAATGAAGATTCAAATGCTTTCCATTTTTCTGTTCAAGTAAAGTTCTAATTTGCTTTCTGTTGCTCCCAAACGCACACGCAAGTATACGTGATCGACAAGTAATATAATGATAAGTTGAGTGTCGAACCCACAGAGACTTGTGTAAACTACTCACTAAATCGCTAAAATTGTTATTCAATCTAGCTAAAACCAAAGTCCGAAAATATGATTATACTATACTACGATTCTAAATAATAACTAAATTATCAAATAACAAGTTGATTGTTGTGTATTCAGTAGAGACTGTGATCGATTCACCAATCGTATTGTGTTCTAATTAACTCTCCCTTTCATATAATTCACTCATGGTTGCTAATTAAACGATAAATACTCTCATAGCCTTCTCCCGAAGTACTACTCACCTATTCTCAATAGATTAACGCCTATATTCCTATGAAATCAATCTATTAAGAATGCATTAAGATCACGATATTTAATTAAGCACGGTGACTAGGTATATTCCTATCCTAACCACAAATCCGCTCCCCTTAAGGGTTAAGATCATGCTCTCTTCAATTCTTCTCTAATCTAAACACGGCTTTCCCAAGCATAGCATAGATAGTAAATGAACCTAACTGTTGGCCAGACAATTAAGCAATTAAACACAGAATTGAAGAAACAATCATATGTTGGTGAATTATAATCAAGGTTAAGTTAATATCAAACAACAATATTCATGGCTAAATCACAACCCCAGAACAATGGGTGTTTAGCCACTCATAATGTAATCAAACAATTGCATAAGTTTTGATTAATTGAAAATACTGGAAAAGATGAAGAATTCCGAGTTGTTCTTGCTCCTCAAAGTTTCTTGAGTGTATCTTTGCTCCCAAGTGCGTCTCTCCCTTCAAAATAGGTTTTAGGATGGCTTTTATACGTGTTGGATAGGTTTAGGGCCGACTAAATCGAGTCCCGGGCAAACTAGGACGAAATTTCACGTAACCGGCGCCCAGCCCGGCTCCAGGCGCCCTCCATAGTGCCCAAAAATATTTCATACTGTTTTCTGCGCCACAGGTGGCGCCCAACTGGCTTCTTTTCCGATTTTGTCCGTTTTAGCTTCAATTCTTGCACGTTTTGCCCCCACTTGCTCCTGAATCATTCCTACACGTAAAAACACTTCAAATTAATATAATTCATAGCATTTGACATCCCAAATTCACGAAACAAGAATAAAATATGAGGCGATATACATAAAAATATATATACTTTAAGCCAAACATCAACACCCCACACTTAAACTCTTGCTCGTCCTCGAGCAATTGGACAATCTAATGAACCCCCAACTACGTACAAAGTCCAATCATAGAGAAACACCCTAACTTTTAACCACACACTATACCCTTGACCATGATCAATACCGGCACACAAGCATGAGCACACAAAAATTCACATTCTTCCCGTTTAAGCATACCCAAGTATAATATTTCAATTCAATAAAATCCAACAACCTATTCGTCACCATCCAACCTCAACAATCGACTTGCAACCACTAAGCACCCTCAATTCATGCACTTACCTAACAAGAAAGTTTAGAACATTACCAATCCTTCATGAGATCATGTGCCCTTACCAATAACAAAAGAGTAAGTATAAATTGGTCCACACATTTAAATTAGAAAACTTACCTGGCAGCCCCCAGCTTGGCGCCTGGCGCTCTGCTTGGCACTGGGTTCTTGGAACCTACTATTTTTGGCGCCTCAGGCAGCGCTGGGCGCTGGCCTGGGCGCTGTTCACGTAATTTTTTTTTTTTTTTTAATAAACATCCCGATCCCCCGAGACTTATACATACCCAATTTACACGTCCTACACCATTACATCTAAAATTTCTACACCTATAAAGAAAATGCAATACTCTACCTATTCTAAAAGAAAAATTAAGAAGTTAAGTTAGGAAAGCAATAAAAATTGGGTTGCCTCCCAACAAGCGCCTGATTTAACGTCGCGGCACGACGCAGAGTCTCGCTTATTCATCAGCGAGTACAACCTTGGTCTTCTCACGATTAATCATTCCTCCCCAATAATGCTTAACTCTATGACCATTCACCAAGAATTTCCTCTCACCATTTAAAGCTCGCAGCTCGATTGCACCATAAGGCGTGACTCTCACCACCTCAAACGGACCTGACCATCTCGACTTTAGCTTTCCAGGGAACAGCCGTAGCCTAGAATTGAATAATACTACCTGTTGGCCTGGCTCGAAGTGACGCGGCTTGATATGCTTGTCATGCCATCTTTTTGTCTTTTCTTTATATAGCTTAGCATTTTCATAAGAGTGCAGCCTGAACTCATCTAACTCATTCAACTGCATAAGTCTTTTCTCGCCTGCAGCTTCAAGGTCCATGTAGCTTTTTAATGGCCCAGTATGCCTTGTGTTCCAGTTCAACGGGCAAGTGACACGCTTTCCCATAAACCAGCTTGTAAGGGGATGCTCCAATTGGCGTTTTATATGTAGTTCTATACGCCCATAAGGCATCATCTAACTTTGCAGCCCAATCCTTCCTATTTACACTCACCGTCTTCTCTAATATTTGCTTGATTTCTCTGTTTGACACCTCAGCTTGCCCATTTGTCTGAGGATGATATGTTGTAGCAACTCTGTGGCGAACTCCATATTTAGCTAGAAGGTTATTCAACAATCGATTGCAAAAATGAGTCCCTTCATCACTGATTAAAGCATGTGGAGTCCCAAGTCTAGAGAATATGTTCTTTTTCACAAAAGCAGCTACCACCATGGCATCATTCGTTGGCAAAGCAATTGCTTCCACCCATTTTGACACGTAGTCAACTGCTAGCAATATGTATTTGTTTCCTCTGGACGGTGGAAATGGCCCCATAAAATCTATTCCCTACACATCAAAAAGCTCAACTTCTAGAATGTTATTTAAAGGCATCTCATGCCTCCTTGTGATTGTTCTCGTTCTCTAACATTGGTCACACTTCTTAACGAATGCATGGGCATCCTTGAATAAAGTTGGCCAAAAGAGACCGTATTGTAGCACCTTTGCAGCTGTTCTATCTCCTCCATGATGGCCCCCATAAGGTGATGCGTGACAATCATACAACACTAATTCCACCTCTTTTTCAGGAATGCATCTCCTCAT